TCCAAAAGTATTGGTTTGAATAAAATGTTTAATTGCAGCAAATAAATGTCATTACGACCGGCATAAATCTGTGATCAATATCACTTCATGGGCTATTTTACCAAGCCGAGACGAAGATGCGCTCGAGAACGCTGTTGCCAATATTGGTCCAATAGCGGTGTCGATTAATGCAAGCCCCGGAAACGTTTCAACTTTACAGGTAGGAAGTATAGTTTTTGTGCAATAGTGCTATGTTAATTGTCAATGTGGTGTATGGCATCGTGCCTTAAGACAAATTGCTGAACTTCCCGGATCGCACGAAATGGTCGAAGAATATTAAATGTTTTCAAATAAATAAATAAATTGTCTAATTTATAAGAATTATATAAACTGAATTGCAAAGTTGAAAATATTTGTTTGAAGTATATTACAACTTAAGTTATAATTACAATTAAAATCTGAATTATTTTCGAAATACAAAAAAAAAAAAAAATTGAAAAAAAAATTAAACAACATTTATTTTGTTAAAACAAGCAGAAAGTTCTTTGAATCATTCAAATCGGACGTTTAGGTTCTCTCAAAAACAGCTATTTTTTGCACATTAGCTCTGTATCTCCGAAACCGCTGGCCTGCCAAAAACTATTAACCATACCATACTTTTCCCCGTCATTATACGAATTGATGTTTTTTGGATCATTCAAATACGATGCTCCGATCACTCAAAAATTCGTTTCTATTTTCTGCATATTTTGCTCCGTATCTCCAAAACGGCTGGATCTGCCTCTGCCAAAAACTAATCAGCACATCTCCCTATCAATAGGAATCGAATGTTTTATGAACCATTCAAATCGGTTCATCCGTGCACCGACACACCACATCTATTTTTTCTGAGATATGCCAAAATGTTCAGAATCCTTCAAAACGCGAAGAAAGGTAAAAATTTTCAATTGCAATTTTTGGACGATTACAATAACTTACCCTACGGGAAGTTAATAAAATTTTGAAGGCGCGATAAGCGTTGAAACTAATACTGCGACAAGACTGTGGCAATGGTGCTCAACTTCTGACAGAATTGTGATTATGACTTTCGTCATGTTATAACAGTCACTTGTCTATATACCATTTTGCCCGTATTTTCCCCATATATAATAAATCATATGTCCAGTAATCGAACGTTGAAAATATAATATATTTATTTAAAAAAAATTACTAAAGCCTAAATTAAAATTAAAATCCAAATCAATTTCGGTATTTAAGAAAAAAAAATCATCCTCCTCCCCCACAAGAGTAATGCCTAACGCCGGTTTCCGTGAAGACCAGGGCAAGAGCAAAGCGAAGGTTTTAGTCGGTATTATACCCAGGCGGTACTGAGTCCGACATACCCAAACAAAAGACCAGTTTGGCGCTCAGTTTTTTCTAGGTACGTCAAAATGTTCAGAGGCTTGAAAAGTAACATTTCGTTAATTTAAAAAAAAAAAACTACGAAAATTTTTACCTAACTAATCAGTATAAGTTCAAACCATATCTTTCGAACAGTTTTTGATTTCTTAAAATCGATTCAGAATTGAGAGCTAAAACGTGGACGAAATTTTTTCACTTTTCTGCTATTTATAAAGAAACAACTCAGACGATCGTCGCACAAAACTGAGAAAGCATAATCCACATCGAAATACATCGATAGGCTTTTAAATGTTTGAAATCGGTTCAGGCGTTTTGAAATTTTGAAACATCAATGAAAGGTAATTTTGACAAACGGCAAAAAAAACGATACTAATTGTTAAATTAAACGACTTGTCCTAGAGCCGTAATATTTTAGTATGATCTATAAGACTACTTCGAAAAAAAAAATCTTTTTAACACTTTATTACAAGAAAACGCCCCGGTCGATCGATCTTTACCAAAACTAATCATCACGATTCCAACTAATATCTTTCTAATGGTTTTTGAATTTACAAAATCGATTCACAATTGCGGCTAAACGTGGACGAATTTTTATTCAGTTTTCTGCTATTTACACAGAAATTGCTTGGCTGATCGTCGCGCAAAATTGATATACACTAGTCCTCATCGAGATACATCAAATGGCTTTTAAATTTTGACATCGGTCCAGCCATTTAATAGCAAATGTATGCTTGTATGGCGGCATTCGATTATTTTATAATACATATTTGCAATGTCGCGAATATGGCGGCATTTGTTTGTTAGGGTTAATTAAACATGGAAATAATTCTTGATAATTCCAGTGAAGGTATCTACGATGACATAATGTTCTTCAAAACACGTAAATCATGCAATGCTGCTAGTTGGATACACAAAGAAGTATTGGATACTCAAAAATTGGTGGGGTAGTAACTGGGGTGAAAATGGTTTTATGAAACTTCGTCGAAATGTTAATCGATGTGGAGTAGCAAATTATGCTGCATATTCTTTGATATGAACAAAATCATGTGTAAATAATAATAATGAAGAATTTATTAAATATATTTGTATATTGTTGCTGTGTTTAGTCATGCTATTTGCTTTTGATTTTATTTTTAAGTTTGTGGAACAGATATAATACCCAATTTATCTAATATTTATATAGTTTTTTATTTCGATCATATTTTATTTAATCATTTTTAAAATTATCAATTCAAGAGAACAAATGATATATCATGTTGTGTGATAAATAAAAAAAAATGTATAAGATTAAACAACTGATTTAGAAATTTTGAAACAAACTCGACCCTTGTTATTGTTTTTTAAAATCTAGCCAATAATTATTATTTTTTAATTATTTTATTTATTATCCTTTGCCGAAGAGGGGCCGTTCAAGTATTAGGTAAGCACTATAGGGGGGCGGGGGGTTGTTGATTTGCTTATTTTGGGTTGACATGGGAGGCAGGGGAGTTCTGTGATGATTACGTTAGGTATAGTGTTATTTATTTAGTATTAATTGCAAAATTTTTACGTAAGCATGGGGTAGGGGGTAAGAGCTTTGCTTACTTTTGCTGACAAGAGGGTTGGGGGGGTAAATAATTGTAATAAATCTACTTACGTAATACTTGAACGATCCCAGAGCAGACATAAGATTAAACTAAAAAGTATAAGTGAAAAAAATCTAGATAGCTCAGTTCTGTACACATTCACAAATAAACCCATTTCTGGACATGTTAGCTGGAAATTAAAAAAAAAGTGCCAAAATAGGATAAATAGACTATTTCTGTTTGAAATAATTACAGTTGAGAATTTCAATTTCAACATTTTATTTAATAAAAACACTTCTCTAAAGTACAAGGAAGGCATTCAGCACCTGGTTGTTGACAACGGTCATACCCATCATATATGTGTGCGCAGCAGTGAATGTATTAAACCATTTCAATACAACAAATATGAGCAGATAGATTTACAAGTAAATCAACGTGAATCAAACACCAATTCAATTTCAAATTCATTAAGTTAATGTAAAATTCATTAAAGTTTAGTAAAGCTCATGAGAGAATTAATGTTTTCTGTGATCCAATCTATCAGTCAGTTTAATAATATTTTAAATAAATATATTGGAATTATTCAAAAAGGTATTAATTTAAAAACTATTCAGAGCTATAGAGCTCTGAAAATTGCAAACTGCCATAAATGAGAAATTTTATTAGAGCTCATAATACTTAGCACAAAACTGGCCCTTGCAATTCAATGATTCTACTATTCATATTCAATTTTGCATGATAAATGAATAATCCTTTAGACTGTTGATCAGAAGTCCTTAAATCTGCAGCCAGAACATCTGGCCAAAAATTCATTGCAATGAATGGTGATAAAATTGAACACATGGCTTCTAGTAAAACCATTATGACTAACCTCAGGAAACTATCTAAAACAAAAAATAAAACAGAATAAAAACAGAAACAGGATTAAAACACACAAGTACTCACCAGTTATGGCCACTCAAGTATTTAATGGTTTTTGAACCAACAAATGCTAGAAAAGAACTTCGATATAAGAATAAAAAGGATTAAAACACAAGTGATGCAACTGCAGAAAAATAATAAAAAGCAAACTAATGCATATTTACAGCATATACACACATTACAATATATAACATGCAAGCATTTACAAATGGAATAGAAATATATATAAATATATAAATAAAAATACAATACATAACAATTGTACATATACAACATTAAAGAGGATTACGGAAATTGTAAGTTACTTAAAAAGCATCCATTCACGAAGTGACCACTTTTATTAACAGGAGGAGTAACAAATAGATGAGCTTTTAGCTAAGCATGTATATTAAGCAGAGATTGCTAAACTTGAGGGAAGAACAAACAAGTACTGGACAAATGTTCAGAAATTATTGTACTATATTTTTAATGTAGAAAGTAAATTTGTAATATTTGAATTTGTTAGAATCATGTTAGCGTTTTATTAAAGATGATTATGATGTAGAAAGAAATAAAAAAACAAATGCGGTTAAATGTTCATATATATTAGAATAATAGCAGAATATGAAGTGAACTGCAACAAATTATAAATGTCCAGATTATCAAAAACACATTACAAAAAACGTAAGTATTATAACTGCATGCAAAATTGGAATTAATGATGTGAATAAAAAAATAATACAATTGAAATAGATTATTTTTGTTTTTCCACTTTAATAGTCTTTGAAGAAAAACAAGACTTTATATAAATTGTATAGAAAACGATACTTCAGATATAGATGGAAAATAGACGTCTATATCAATTAACAAGTATATTCCATTCCAATAATTTCTGCATATAGATATATAAATTCATAATAAATATATTTAGTCTGTTTATTTAACAATGTAATTAACTAATTGCTAATGATCAAATAACATTTCGCGCAAGAGCGCTTATATCTGAAATTTCTGAAGCATCATCATCGTCATCACCATCATCATCCGATAAATTAAAACTGATTTCGCTCTCGCTCCCACCATCTTCTATTCTCACCCCTCTATTCCGGCGTCTTATATTGCGGCGTTCTCGAAAATTATTGATTCCTGTTCATCCAGAATTGCTGCGACATCTATAACCATCAAATTACATTGCTAAGTGCTTCGAGAACTTGCCATTTCTTTTTTCTTAAATAATTTAACTTTCTATGTCATCCTCACTTTCAACATCAGAAGACAAAGACCCGTTATCAGAACCATCCATATCACTGTCATCATCTTCTTCCTAAAAAAAATAATTATTTAATACCCAAAGCATAATTAAACCAAAAATTTAAAACTAGAATTCGATATCTTATTATTTTGGCATACGTTCACTGTGTGTAATGTGGTTGCATGTATATTGTGTATATATAAATGTTTGCATACAATATTTCTGTCACAATTGGCCACAACGCAAATTAAACATTTGCATAGTTCAAAAGCATACAATTTGTTATTAGTTTTTTATTGTTTGAAAGGCCAAGAAATAATTGTACATTTATAAATAACAATGCTGATTGAATTAGTTTTTTTTTTTCTGATATATAATTGTCAATGTATATTAAATATATATTAAATTCATCATATTTCTTAGTAAACCTTTGCAGCAGATATTTAGATTTGGAAGTTTTTGATTTTATTTTTCCGCGATTCAAGGAGCATTGCAAAGTTTTTCCTTATTTAAATCTTATGCAATTTTTATCATTATTTAATTAGCAATAAATATAAATTACTCTTACAATAGTTTTTTTTTTTGAAGAAAATATGAAAAAAATCAATTCATGTAATGTTTAATTAAATAATAAATATATTTTATTACATATATATTATGAAATTGCAAATTGTAGCATATTATTTTGCTACTGTTTTAAATGAAAATCACTATAAAAAAGTCCTTTTGTCAGTTTTTAATATGATATATAACAAACACATTGAACAAAAAATAAATATTAATATACTTATTATGAAACACATTTGTAAATTAATAAAATAAAATTAGTATTGATCATAAACATCTTATCTCAATTATCAATCACACATAGACTACTAAGTAACTGTAACTGTAACATACATTTTGTAGTATTGTATTCTGATAGTAAAACAATGAAAATGTTATTGAGATATAAACAAATTATAGTTTATATGTTAATAAATTCAAAATTAATAAATTTAGTTAAAAAAATAGTGAATTTCAAAAACCATGCAAAACGGGGGATAGGATATACAAAATATTACATACAATACATACAAAATACATATATATATATATATCTTATATATATATATATATATATATGATTATTTAGGTTTTCGATCCGTAATCGTAAAAAACATTTCTAGAGACACAGTCCAAAATTATGACACATTTACCCCAAGTTTTCTAGAATTAAGACTTTTATTAAACTAGTAAAAGCATTTTTTTAAATTGCTCTACCTTAAGAGGCCCTCTTTAAAAAGGAAGTACTAAGTGTATAGGTAATTTGGTCATTCAACCAAATTTAAAAATTTTAAATTTATAATTTAAGAAAATATCTTAAATTTTAAAAACTTGAAGCAATTGTATCATTATTTTTTATTGTGGTCTAGAAATTTTATTTACGGATGTGAACAGTTCAGATGAACAAAATTAATAAAAATTAACCACTTAAATTAATATATAATCATAATTCCACTTACTGCCTCATCATCATCCTGTTTCTCGCTTCCGTCCACATCATATATCCTAATATAGCAGATTCTTGAACCGATCATAAGCCCTGATTTTCTACTAAGCAATTTGGCTATCCCATTCATTTACACACAGATCATATATGCTACGCACGACGAACCTCAATAGTTGCTGTAATAAAAAAATTATATAGATTTACTGAAAGCACAAAATTAAAAGTGTTGAAGAATTGCAAAAGCACTCGTATTTTTGTAAGTGCATGTCTTTATCTATCTTTAATCATTATGAATTTTAAATTTTATTTTTTCATAATTAATACATATATACAGTAGAACCTCGATTAACCGAACTAATTGTTGTTGATATGCATTGGATAATCCAATGTATGAAGAATAATGATGTTATTTATCAAAAATAACAAATACATACATAGATATCAATACTTATTTAATGTTACAGTTCAGCTCATATAAATTATTTTTGTATTTCTGATGCTAAAATAAAGTGAAAAAAAAAAAAAGAAATAGATAGCAAAGAAAACAATATTTAATAAGAAATTAACATTTCCTTATGTATGTACATATATACTTTCTTAGATTATATCACATTGTAGGTAGGAATGTAGGTATGTACATACATATAACTCTTTCGCGGCTGGTAGTCCAGATAATCAAGGTTCTACTGTATATATATATATATATATATATATATAATATATATATATATATAATATATATATATATATATATATTATATATATAAATATATATATAATATATTCGAATATAATATAAATATATTAGAATTTTTAAAAAATCAAGT